GAATTAGGGAACCTGGCCATTCTTCACATCCAAATAGACACGAACCTCCCTCCCTCTCCACCAAGTCCTAAATATCCCGTGCCACACGGGCTGGTGAACTCGGATTTGAAGTTTGCATGACCCACAGCCCAAGCAGATGAGAGGTGGGAATGGAAAGCATTCTCAAAGGGTCACGTTCACACAGTGTTCCCTTCTAAGCCCATGTGGAACCACTGCTACCAGGGGCAGCAAAATTTGCATCAGATGGGTTTGTTTGCATGGTTCAACATGTGTTACAATCGCTTCTTAAAAATACCTTCTCCAAGGTTTCCTATTCCAAATCCCACAATATCAAGTACACTTGTAACGCTGACCACACCACCTTTTTAAAATACAAACTGGCATTTTAAACATTGTTTTCTTCCCCCTTGTCTCTCTCCCACGAAGGTGGAAAGCACATGCATCAGTAACCCTTGTTATGACGTGCCAAGTGCATCAAGCACATTTCTTTAAAGGTACTTGTTTCCATGAATTATGAAGTAAACACCTTCTACCCAAAAGGCAGTGGTGGAGACAAAAGCCTGTTAGCTTTCCATTCTTACATGGGGGGGGGAGGGGGGAAAAAAAACCACCAACAAAAAACTAGCAGGTGTCAGACTGGCATCTAGGGGAGAAAAAGAAACCTAGACATAACATCTAGTCTTCTACTCATACTACACTTTCCCGTGCTTGCATGTACAATCTGCTACGCCACACACAGCAGACTGGCAAGTAAAATCTGTGTGTAATAGATCTACCAGTCAGTGACCCAGGAAGAGATATCTCAATACAGATTAGCTCCAAAATCGTTGGGAGACTCTGCATTGATTTGAGGAGAGCAACATGGAAATTCTAGAATGGACTAACGGTACGTACTGTTAACTGCAGAGCACTAAACCATGTCTTTAAGAACACACACATGATTTAACTGATTTTTTTTTTTTTTCCAAGCTGGCTTAAGCAGATCTGTGGACACAGAGCAAACAAAAGCCTGCCTGAAAGCACTGGAGGTGACCAGCTGGTCAGCACTTGGTAAGGCAGCTGGTCAGCTAGCACTCCGATACATGCTGTCACCAATCTGCTGAAGCACTACAAAGAAGGGTTCTTCAAGGGCTCTTAAAGAGGGTTAAGCTTCAAGGAGAGAAAAAGTCCTTGCAAGGACTTGAAATTAAAAAGGTCAGGCAGGAAATAACGAGCATATGGAAGATACCTGTGGAGCACCACACTGCCTTGTGCTGGGGCTCGTGCTTTTAACACATTCCTAGGCAGCCTTGAAAAAGGGGGTACTGGGGAGCTGGTAGAGTTTGCTGACAAATCTGAGCTATTCCAGCCGGGGAAGATGAAGCCTGACCAGATGGCTGCCCAAGAGCCACACAAGCCTAAATGACTGGATAAAGAGACAACTGACATTCAGTACAGTTAAGCACAGAGTGGTGCACACAGGAACAAACAACCCCAACTTTAGTCACAGAGCAATGGGCTCTCACCTGACCATCACCACTCAGAAGCAAGACCTCCGAGCTATGATCTCTACTCCAACACTCACATCAGCTCGGTGCTGAGCTCAGAGAACACAGGCACTCTCTCTCTCTCCCTCCCCCTCCTAATTTAGGCTCAGCTCCTTCAGGTAAGACTCAGGGGAATCACTGTTCTTGTGCTTTCTTTTTATAATTCAGCTGTAAGTACTCTAAGTTAAAAGCAAGATTTAGACATAAATCTTCTGAATTACAGACCACTAAAGAGGACAAGTCTGGGACTCAAAAGGTGTTTGTAAAGCTCAAGAGCAAACAAAGCAAGTTTGCAGGTGGGGGACGTTAGCATTTAATTAGCACAGCTGGTATAGTTAAGGACCAGCTAGGACACAAAAAGCTGTGGGTATCCATAAATTTTGCATTTCTTCCTTCCTCTAGCTACATCAGGTACCATAATAACAGGTATTGTCTCCTTTCAAAAAACCCATCTCTCAGGTCTCAGCCCAGAGCTACAACAGTGTTACTACACAGCAGTTTCATATCTTGAATTGCAGCTCCATTGTCCTTCCCACCAGATCTCTGGATTGAGAGTTCTTTTGAAGACCAAACAAAACATACCTTGCAACCCTGACAACAGCCATTCCAAATGCTTACAAAGTTAAAAGGTTAACTATCTGCAGAAGGTTGGGTTAATTGGCCACAGCTCAATCAAGACTCACTGTAAGCATTCCCAGTAAGCATTTTTTTATCACATATGTACTTGATTTCAAGATCAGTCAGGAAAATCCTGCTCCCCAAAATGATATCCTCAGCAGAGAGCACAAAGGGCATCACCCAGTTCAGAAGAGAGAGGAAGCGGTAAGCAAAGCAGATCAAAGACAAAGCAGTATCTCCCTTTACACTTCAGCTCACAGCACACACCCGATCCAGAAATCAAACCAGCTTATCACACGCAGCAATCCAGCGTTCGCCTCTAAGCAAGCACACACAGCTTATTTATAAAAGCGTCCCTGCTGAAATCAGCTGGATCGCTACTTTGCTACCCTTTTGCCTGCGTGGCAAAAAGAACATGAATATGAAGGCTCAAAAAATTGTGGAGTGCCTTGTACAAAACCCACCAAACACACACGTGGCAAAGCGTTACTACCCGACTGTTTTTAATGAGGCTTCTCGGGACTTACCTGGTGCGGAAACCAAGATCTGGCATCGGGTAAGAATAGCCAGGAGGAAATCGTTGTGAGAGTGGACTGCGTAAAGACAGACAGTTCATTAGTAACACATCAGTGTCCAGAGGCACCCCCCAAAGCAATTTTAAAGTAGCTCGCTACACCTTTCCACGGTCGTGTTTTCCCCACGTGCTTAGCTACGTAGGCACAACTTTCAATTTAAGATTTTTTTTAAGAGTTTTCTTCTACTGGACCCAGAATCTGCTACTACCACACTAACAAAGAGGATACTACACACGGCATGGAAACAAGTTAGGTCACTTCTCAGTGTGCCACACACACAAATCCAGCCCTACAGCATGCAACATGAAACACCTGGCATATTCATCCAGTCCAAGGAGGATCAGCTGTCTCTCCTGCCACACAGACTTCTGATAACAGGGCTTTTGGTTTTGCTAGAAAAGGACCAGTAAGAGCCAGCCCCAGGAAGGTGAAGTTAAGTCAAACAGGTTCTAGATAAAATGCAAACTCCTTGCAGAAGGGTCATTGGAACACAGACTGAGTAATTACGCATTAGAAAGAGCAAAGAGGAACTTCACAAGCCAGGGTCAGAGGGTTACAGGATCCTCTTTGGCCTTTTAACCCAAGCACCAACACACTCCCTGCCCTTTCCCACAGGGATTGCAAACATGGCAGTCAGGAGCCCCCCCCAACTCTCTCAGCAATGCCCACCAACGTTTGCAGACTCGCACAGAGGAGAGGACAAAGGAATCTCGCCCTTCAGTGCTCCAACCTGCCAGCCCCAAAGATCACGAAGGGAACCTGCCTGCTGCAAAATTGCCCAGGTGAATTCGGGGGTTCCCTCCCCCACTTCAGCCACACCACCAGTTCAGTCCTAGCAAAACGGAGAGTGCAGTATGGGAAGGACTGAGTCTCTACGGTGACATAAAAAAATGGCTTTCTGGTTGCTCGGACAGCATATTTTACCTTTTTACCGTATTCACACAAGGCCAAATTGCCTGTCAGTGCCGGGGCCAGAAAGGGACTTCCCCCTGCAGGCCAAGGCACCTCCCACATTTTTAACTCCATTGCTACCGGAGCCCCGGCCATTCTTATTTCCCTGGCAGCAATCTCCCTGTTCGGGAAGCAACATGCAGCTGGGCTGAGCTCCCCCCAGGCCTGGCAGGAGCAAGGCACTATTAGAGCCTGCAGGAAAACAAACACAAGATAGGTTTTTACCATTGTCTTGCGTGAGAAGCCTGCGTGCTTCCAGATCAAACTCCTCCTTACTGATCTTTTGCTTGAACCAGAGCTTCAAGTTGGCCCAGTACCTAGGGAAGAGCAGGGAAGGGACAAATACCAAACGAAAAGCGTTGCTCCTAAACCCACTGCTTTCCCCCACCAGCGCAAAGGGGCCCAGGGCCAGGCCAGCGCTGAGGCTCCCGCACAGACACAGTACAAACGCGCAGCCCTTTGAGGGCCGGAAGAAGACAAACGGGCCGCGCAGCGCCCAGGCCCAGCCGGCACCGCCCTCTCAGGCCCGGCCCAGCCCAAGCCCAGCGGGACGCCCCCACCGCGGCTCGGCCTCGCTCCCCCGCACTCACTGCTTCACGTT